GTGCATTGATAAAGGAGGAGATTATATTGAAGGCCTGTAATCACTTGTATCTTCTTCAATAAATATTTTTTTAGTTAGAGCCAACTGTGCATTACTTTTGGGATAACCCTCGTATACACTTCTTTTCTTTTATATCATATCAAAAGGACATCAGTCCTTTTCTTTTGATTTATGCTATATACTAAAACACGGTAAAATCTGCATTCTTCGCTCGATTTTCAACTTACTCCGTCTACCGCTATTACTCTTACGTCTTCCCTCACGCGCGACACAAGTTGCGCGAGGCTTATCAGTAACATACGATGTGTGAACTTATTTCCAATAACTTTCTACGTCACTTATGAAATATTATTGTTGATGCGTTTTTCTTTATGCATACGTTACTGAGCTTCGTGTGGCTCGTATGCCGCGCGGAGAAAAACGTAAGAAGAATGGCGGTAGGTGAAATGAGCTGAAAATCGGGCAGAGTGCAGATTTTAGCTCTGCTATACAGGGTGTTATAAAAGTCCCGGAAGAGCAGAATAACTCGAAAAATATGAGTCTTAGAAAAAATGCGAAGCACTGGATTTTTATGATTTTTTCCTGGCTATCTGACGGTGACCTTGGATTTGACCTCGACAATGATCTTGAAGGTCATTTCAAGGTCAGGTCAATTTTTTAAATGAGACTCTACACTTTTGACCCCAGAAATGAAAAGAGCGGAAAATTTTACGTCCGGATATGATCTTAAACACTGCCAAATTTGACCTCTGAAGGTCACATAAAGGTCTAAGCTTGTTTTAGGCTGAAAACGCGAATATCTTCGAAAATGCACCTGCTAGGGAGCAATGTTACGCATAAGAATAAGAATGTAGAGGTCAACGAGGGACATTCAGCCGTGACCTTTCCCTTATTCTCAAGGTCATGAGTTAAGATTATTATTAAGGTCAAACCGGACTTTTTTAGGACTGAAAATCCATACTTTTGACCTAAAAGTGTCGAGATTGAAAAATTTTACGTTCGGATAAGACGTTTTCAACCTTGACCTTGTTCTCAAAATTATGCGTTTTACGTTACTTCACTGATCGTGAAGTCTACTGAAAGTAAAGCGTCTCGGAACCCGAGCACTGAAGGCAAGGTGTCTCAAACCCGACCACTGAAGGCAAGGTGTTTCAAACCCGACCACTTAAGGCAAGGTGTCTCAAACCCGACCACTGAAGGCAAGGTGTCTCAAACCCGACCACTGAAGGCAAAGCATCTTGTAACTCGGCCTGAGATTACAAAAGATGTTCAAAATGTTCTCCATTGACCGTTTGACAGTGTGCTAAGCGGACGTACAAATTGTCAGTCGCACTCCTTATTATTTCTGGAGGTATTGCAGCACATTTGTCTATGATCCGTTATTGAAGCTCATCCAGGTTACAAAGTTTAGTGAAATAAACTTTATTTTTCATGTAGCCCCAAAGAAAGAAGTCAAGAGGTGCAATGTCGGGCGATCTCGGTGGCCATTCGATTGTTCCTCTTCTAGCTATCCATCGATTAGGGAAAGTATCGTTTAAATAGTTCCGAACAATGCATCCATAATGTGGCAGTGCCCCATCTTGCTGGAACCAAACATCATCAAAATTATCACCAACAATCTCCTGTATTGATGGAACAATTTGGTCTGTTAGAAGCTGCAGATAGGTTTCTGAGTTCAAATTCCCATTTATAAAAAAAGGTTCAACCACTTGATCATCATAAAGACCTGCTCAAACATTCAATTTTTGAGGTCGCTGCGTATGTGCTTCAAGCATCCAATGAGGATTTTCGTTGTCCCAATTGTTACGTCCTGTAGATTTAATTAGCAAAAATTCTTTCCCCTCGCGGATTTATATTCTCCTAATATAACTATAATAGGAATATATACATATATAAATATAAATTAGGAAACAGACCCATCTGGCGAACAGCCGTCGCGCCAAATGAAAGGCGATTCGGGAAAATTCCATAACAGGAAACAGTGCCTGTTGTAAAAACCTATACCTGGGTAGTGTTCGCCAAGTGTGTCCGTCGTCCCAGCTATAAAAACTTGAAACTCCGCGCTAATAAACCTTCAGTGAAACAAAGCAACTCAGAGCATTCTTGCTCTAAAACTTGAAACTCACATCTTCCCAATCCAAAACCATATGTGCCCAATCAGTCAACCAACAAAGCCTACTTCACTGATAGTCGTAAAATCTGATCCCAGCCTTTGATTTACGGCATTTTGATTTTTCCAGCCGTCCACTTGTATACATTTCTCTATCTCAAGAACCCACCACCTCTACTCTTGTCGCGCCTAACTCATTCAGCCAATCATATATCCACCTAAAACTATGAGACACTCACGCTCCACCCTTTAGCCCTTCCATATTCATATCTCCAAAAACTAACTGTCTCCTCCCACGATGTCTTTTAACTTTGCTAATGGCTGAGACTTTTTCCCACTAAGCCAATCCACCCCTTCCTCAAAGGCCATCTCTCTACCCACCCTGATAGCTTCTGCCTCCGATTATTACTATAAAAACCGCGGTAATCCGCCTCCGCGGGCATATCTACTTCAACTTCTACCGTTACTTCTATTCTGAGAGACAGAAAGAACAGATTCACATAGATTCTAGTTTCAAAAATCAGACTTGTAAAAACACGTCCTTAGACTCAAATTCGTCTTCGGTTTTTGTTTCGGTACTACATATTCTTTTACGTCCTCTGTCTTATTTATTTATTTTTGGGACTAAAAAAAAATAAAAAGTTTGAATCACTGCTATTGTGCCATAATTGGACAATTGGAAGGGAGTGGACGAGCACAACGTGACCTATCGAGCAGGAGCTACCAAAACATCAATTTTATTTTTGCTCACCTTCAGGATAACCGGAGTCAGCAGTAAGTTCTGTTTTTTTTTTGCTTCTACCTTTTCTACCACCATCTTATTAATCCCCCATATTATTAAAATCCGTTTTAGTGGGTCATTATAACAACATAGGGATAACCCTCCACTACGTTTTCCGAACGTTCGAGGAAGCTTTTGATATTAGCGATCCAGATGAACTTACGTCCCAGATCCACTACCTCCGAGCCATAGTTAATATAGCGTTAGGAATTGATTATCACCCGGATCCTACACTCCTATCCCCTTACCTCCTTCCTCGTTTTTCCCCTGATACTCCGCCTTCTTCTCCTACACACGCGTCCCCGCCTACAACCCCTTCGATATCTTATTCACCAGTTTCCTTCTCCGAACTATCCACTCCCTTAAATTCACCCGACCACTCACGCTCCCCCTCACCCGACTAATTCTTTACTCATATTCCTACCTTTTTTTTATTATTTCCTCCTTCTTTCACTTCTCATACATACACACATACACATACACAGTCATTCCTCAACTGTATTGAACCGCGCCGTAATTCATTTTGTTATTTTAATAAATCTGTTTATATTTCATTCTTTTTCCAATTGATTTCAAAATCACATATACCCTTCCAACAGTCAACTCATGGTCCTATCCCCGGTAAAGGGATTCGCGTCCCTGACCGAAAAACGGACCACTCGTCGTACGTCGGTGCCCGAGTAAAGGGACCCGTCGGGTCCCTGACCCGTTCACTAACACGCGTGTACGAACGAGGTTCGCCTTACTCGCGAACGAAAGGGTTGCGTTCCTCCTCTAGGACGTAACACAATATTTAAAATTATGACGGTTTACGTTACCAGTAATTTCAAAAGACGCTTCGTCTGAAAAAACGATATTATGCAAAAAGTTCGGTTGCTGATCAATTCTTTGCATCATAATTTCTGAAAATTGCACCCTGCGGTCAAAATCATCCTCATTCAACTCATGGTGGAGATTAATTTTGTAGAGGTGGAACTTAATGGTCTTTAAATTTTTGGAAATTGACAATACACTCATTTGAAGCTGTTGAGGTGCTTTTCTAATTGACAATCTGGGATTTTCAACAAATGATTGGGTTACTTCAAATTGTCGCTCTTCTGTCGTTTGGGACCTTGGCCTCTCAGATTTTTGGCGGTTTTTATTACTCCCAGTTTCTACAAATCGTCTGATGGTGCGAGATACGGTCGATATTGAAATACCTTCGCCTTCATTACGAAAGTTTTCATTGAACAGCAATCTCACTTCACTGTATGACCTTTGTCTATCCCCCCATCCTCTTATCATCAATAGCGAAACTCTCTCATGCTCTGTAAGAGAAGCCATTTGGAATTGAAAACAAAAAATTTGCAAAAATTTGGTATAAAAATTCGGTTTCATTACCTTTAAATAAAAATAATAAATAATGTACCATTAATCGTTAATAATAATATGATAATAATTCAAAACGGACTAGAATAACATTAAAACTTGTTAAATCGATGAAAACTCAAAAACAATCTATTATCTGTTTGACACTGATAGAATCGAGACAAATAAAAACCTTGAAGCATACACTTTATTGATGGCGAATAAATTTTTCGGATACCGATCCTGGGATTTTTGAGCTCGCTAAAACCGAATCCGATGTCGGATTTTGCAAATTCAAGATGACCGATTCAAGATAGCGGCCGATATTTAAGAATAACAAGAATTGGATCTCATTTAAGGAGTTGTTGAAGTCATTTCTGAAATTGAATCCGACGTTGGATTTTACAAATTGCAGATGACCGATCCAAAATGGCGCCCGATATTGCGGAATTACCAACAATCGGAGTGTGACCTCGTACGTAACGTAAAATCTCACTCTTCACATTATGAGGGGGGAGTAAAAGTATGTGTTTCCAGCCTAAAAAATTAATTGACCTTGATATGACTGACACATAACCTTAAGAACAAGGTCAAGGTTGAAAACGTCATATCCGAACGTAAAATTTTTCAATCTTAACACTTTTAAGTCAAAAGTATGGATTTTCAGTCCTAAAAAGTCCGGTTTGACCTCAATAATAATCTTGACCTTAATAATAATCTTGAAATAACTCATGACCTGGAGAATAAGGGTAAGGTCACGGCTCAATGTCCCTCGTTGACCTCTACATTCTTATTCTTATGCGTAACATTGCTCCTTAGCAGGCGCATTTTCGAAGATATTCGCGTTTTCAGCTTAAAACAAGCTTAGACCTTTATGTAGTCCTCAGAGGTCAAATTTGGAAATGTTTAAGGTCATGTTCAAACGTAAAATTTTCCGCTCTTTTCATTTCTAGGGTCAAAAGTATGGGATCCCATTAAAAAAATTGAATGACCTTCAAGGTCATTGTCGAGGTCAAATCCAAGGTTACCGTCAGATAGCCAGGAAAAAATTATAAAAATCCAGTGCTTCGCATTTTTTCTAGGACTCATATTTTTCGAGTTATTCTGCTCTTCCGGGACTTTTATAACACCCTGTATATTATGGGACTTATTCGGCCACACATACCTTTACTTTGACTTGGTTCCCAAACCAGCAATAAATAAATATTTGCGTCAGCATACAACACGTGTACATAATTAACAAAACATGATCTGTATTCGATGATGGATTAGTCAGTTGATATAAATTAGAACAAATGACCATTGTACTTGCTATGAACTGAAATCCAATTATTTGATTAAATCTCATGTTAACCAAACGTATAAACCTGCAATTAAATTGTCATTTTTATCTGTGATACTTTTTATTATTTTATTTTCATCTATGATACTTTTTTATTACAAGTTAAATAAAATATCTATTACAACGAAAAATTACAACTTGAAAAACATTTAGAAACTTCAGTCTACTTCAATAACTTGATATTCTGTTGCTGCAACTAACTCGTAAATTCTGTTGTGATGACATATGCAGTAGCCAATGGTAACATAATTGTCTGAAATTCTATTTAGACGATATTCTAAGATCTCGAGTTGGCAACACAAGTGCATTAGGAATCCGCATAGAAGCGCATCGCAAGCAACGTTCACGGTTGCGCAATGATATGTGCTTATCATTTGCTGAGCATATGTAAAGCAAAATATTGCATAGGACGAAAAATCATACGGCACCCATTCTCTGTACGTTAATTTTCTTTGCCTGAAGTCGGTGAGCAAGGACGTCAGAGCAATAAATGTGCACGTCGTCTCAATGAGAATCGCATAGCGTAATGTGTTATTTCTGGAATATAGCTCAGAAAACATTGTTATATATCTGTATTATTTCTAATAATCGATTTTAGAAATGGCAAATGTAAACCAACATTTGTGTAACTAATTAAAATTTGTGTTATTAACAATTGTGATCGATGTAAAAATCCACATAAACAATATTTAAGGCATACACAAATGTCATATCGACTAACGTTGGCATCCAGACAGCACCGGATATCCAATGGATGTACGTTTCACGTCCAATTTATGTCCGTATATCCGATTTAGGTCCGTGGACATAAATTGGACGTAACAAGGATATCCTTATTTGGACATCGGACTTGTAGGACGTCCGATGTACATCCATCGGTCGTTCATGTCCGAAGTTGTGACAAACGTATATCCAATGGACACGTCTTTTGTAAATGGAAAGAAAATGGACATATAACGGATGTCCAGTGGACGTCCGTGTGCTATCTGGGCATATATAAGGGCAGTTTGAAAAATTCGCGGCCTGACACATATATGGCATTAGAAACTGTCAAACTATAATTGTATTGAAAAGTGGCATCCCTGATATAAACCCATGTAAAATTTTATTCCGATCTGTCAAGTCATTTGAGTAATAGCACCAGTTTAATATTGACATGTCATTGCCTTTTTTAAAATGGAAAAATTGAATATCGTGCAGTGATTAAATTCTTTGTTTTGGATGGTTTAACACCAACAGAAATTCATCCGAAATTGTTAAAAGTGTATAAGGATGCATCGTCTTCACTTTCCGCTGTGAAAAAATGGGCTGCTTTTTTTAAATCTGGTCGTACAAGCCTCGAAGATGATCCACGCGAAGGTTGTTCAAAAACTGCTACAACACCACAAAACATTCAACAAGTCCATGATATGGTGTTAGATGATCGGCGAGTGAAAATGCGTGAAATAGCTGAGGCCATAGGTATCTCAAAAGAACGAATTGGAAATATTTTGCATGAAGAATTACATATGAAAAAGCTTTGTGCAAGATGAGTGCCGCATTTGCTAACAATTGATAAAAAACGCATTCGAATGCGTATTTCTCAAGCGTGTTTGGATCGTTTTAAGCAAACTAAAATGGATTTCAAGCGTCGTTTTATAACTGTTGATGAAACTTGGATCCACCACTATACACCAGAGCGAAAAGAACAGTTGAAACAATGGATTGAAGCCTGTGGACATGCACCAAAGAAGGCAAAGACGGTTTCATCAGCAAGAAAGTTTATGGCAACAGTTTTGGAATTACAAAGGTGTTTTGTTGATCGATCATCTTCAGAAAGATAAAACGATTAACTTCTGAATATTATTGTAACCTTTTGGATCTATTGGATGCAAAAATTCGTGAGAAAAGACCTGCTTTAAAGAAGAAAAGAATCGTTTTCCATCAAAACAATGCACGTGTTCACACAAGTGTTTTGACAATGGCAAAATTCAACGAATTAAAATATGAATTGCTTGAACATCCAGCGTATTCACCAGATTTGGCTCCCTCTGACTATTATCTGTTTCCAAACCTGAAAAAATTCCTGGCTAGAAAGCATTTTACATCAAATGACGAAGCTATTGCAGCCGTGGATGGATATTTTGCAGACCTTCCGGAATCACACTTTAATAATGTTATTGAATTATTAGAAAAATGTTGGAATAAATGTATTGAAGTTTTAGGAGATTATATTGAAAAATAAAATATTTCGCGGCAAAAAAATTTTCTTTCATTGTTAGCCCGAGAACTTTTCAAACTGCCTACGTATCTTAGAGAATGAGCATAATGCAAGCTTGCAAACATAAGAAGTATACGAGATAATGTTATTCTTTTCATATCTTATTATGGAGAATGTTAATGTTATATGAAAATGTTAATTTAACTTCATGATAATTAATTTGAATTTATTACAAATTAGAATGATTATATATATTCATTACGGAATATTCTATATTTTCTTTTTAGTAATGATATACAAGATGTCCCGTTTTAAATAAGCCGGGCAAAAATTTCGAAAAATATAAAAGATACTAACAAGGAAGATGTCCGCGAAATGTGTGTCTCCGATTTCGACAAAAGGAAGAGGGTCCCTAAGGCCTGTTTTCGGCACCCTTCAAAATTGGACCAAAATGGCTGGAATCACTTCCTTATACCTTGGAAGTAATATTTAGTCAATTCCAGCCTAAACGGAAGTATTTAGAATGTATACTTCAAGTATATATGGTGCATCAGCGCGCCAGTATCAAGCATTTTTTTGGAAAACTAAGCGTTTCTGAGAAAAATGTTTCAAATAAAAGTTATATGGTTTCAAGGGGGACATAAGATAGTGTCATTGGTTTGACCTTGAATAGTCATTTGAAGATCACGTGAATATCGATTTCAATATTTTATATAGAACCTCCTATTTTTACATATCTTGTAGCTTATCTCGAGAGCTTTCCAAAACACTTATAACTAAGTCATTTTTCATTAAGTACTTTGCGAGTTATGAGGCTTCTTACAGATAGATTTGTAGAAACGTTACTTAAGGAGATCCGAGATTGAAATCATATTATTTATTCTTGTTGATTCTCCACACGTGAACAGTAAAATCGTAAACGTAATTTTCCTTTAAGAAGCCATGTAGAGTGGGGTGTTGGATTTACGTGAGTCCCCTTGCCTGTCACTTTTTATCAATTATCAATCCACGCTTAACAAAAACCCGAAGTTTAGCCAGGGAAGGTACAACAACAAACGGCGACTTAGCTTTACAGATAATGCATTTATGTGTCATAGATGGTCTACTAAAAGGAATAGTTATTGTTTCGTTTGCAGGAACATTAATATTTTCTGCCATATTGAAAACGTCTAATTATAAATTGCAATTCACTGTAGAATAAATCTGAATAATTATGCAAGATTAAAAACTAAAGAAGAAGAAAAAATAAAGAAGAAAAACTCAAAAATAACAAGATGTCTTTTTGCGTAATAAGAAAATCTCGAGAAGCAGCTCTGACAAGAACTAGTTTTATTTTTATCGTAACCAGGTCCCTGGGTACGCGCAAACACGCATTTTGTGTATCTCTGACATTAAAATGTGAGATCGGGTCCGATATAAGGCCATGGACATAAGCAGAACTTGGTCTATTGAATTAAAAGCTTAAGGGATCGTAGTTGCTCAAAAAGATGCATACAGTTCTTAAAACAGTTCTTTTCAAAACTTCGTATTTAGCCTTGCGGCAGAAAATACGCATGTCATTTCTTTCAGAAATATTTGTAATTAGTGTTTCTACGTGATCTACGATAGTGTTTTGGAAAGCTCTCGAGATAAGCTACATGATATATAAAAATAGGGGGTTCTATATAAAATATTGAAATCGACATTCACGTGACCTTCAAATGATTATCCAAGGTCAAACCAATGACACCATCTTATGTCCCCCTTGAAACCATACAACTTTTATCTGAAACATTTTTCTCAGAAACGCTTAGTTTTCCAAAGAAATGCTTGATACTGGCGCGCTAATGTACCATGTATACTTGAAGTATACATTCTAAATACTTCCATTTAGGCTGGAATTGACTAAATATTACTTCCAAGGGTATAAGGAAGTGATTCCAGCCATTTTGGTCCAATTTTAAAGGGTGCCGAAAACAGGCTTTAGGGACCCTCCTCCTTTAGCATATTTATAGAATAGCTAAAAATAAAAGACCCGTGTTTTTTTTTGGCAATAGCGCAGGTTTAAGGGATGAAGCTACCTCTCAAAATTTCATCCCCTTTATACTATCTCGATAACTATTGCAGATAAAAAAAACTTTTTAAACAAAAATTGTATAGTTTTTATGAAAAATAAAATAGGCTTGGCTAAAATAAAAAAGTGTTTTTAATAATTAACAAAATGACCATATCAGGTAATTAATTAATTAATTAATTAAATTCACTATATAGAAGGAAAAGTTAATATTTTTCATTCTGAATCCATCCAAATATACTGTTTTATATTTAAATTATACGGGCATTGCAATTTTATAAGCGGAAGTGACACCATATGCAGGGTGCTTGGTAACATGTATAAGCGCTTAATCGCTACATCGTCACGCAAATGGCAAACATCTGTTTACATCTTTTGAACGCATTTTAATTAATATAACAATATAAAATAATTCAGGAACTATTAACACATAAACGCGGGCCGCCGAACATTTTTTTCTGTTCGTAACATATATACAGGGTGAGTCAATTAAAGTGTTACAGATTTATATCTTGGAAATGAATAATTTTAGAGAAAAATGTTTCAGACAAAAGTTGTATGGTGTCAAATGGAACATAAGAAGGTATCATTGATTATGCCTTGATTAGCCATTTGAAGGTTACGTAAAGGTCACCAACAATTTTTCAAATAGAACGCCCTACTTTTTTTGGCATATTCTTATAACGTATTTCAAGAGCTTTCCAAAACACTACAACAGAGTATTTTTTTGTTAAGTATATCCCGAGTTATGAAGCTTCAAATTTACAGTATCGTCGGCATTAGCATTACCCAAGGTGTACCGCGTGGAGGTTGCACGATAGGATTTACACCTCTTGTGTGCGTGTATGTGTGTGTGTGTGTGTGTGTGTGTGTGTGTGCGTGTGTGTGTGTACGTGTATTTGTGTGTGTATGTGTGCGTATGTGTGCGCGCGTGTTCGCACGCACACACACACACACATACACACATACAAAGATGTGTAAATCCGACCATGCAACCTCCACGCGGTACACTTTGGATAATGCAAATGCCGGCGGTACTGCAACTTTGAAGCTTCATAACTCGGGATGTACTTAACAAAAAAATACTTTGTAGTAGTGTTTTGGAAAGCTCTTGAAATACGTTATAAGAATATGCCAAAAAAGTAGGGCGTTCCATTTGAAAAATTGTTGGTGACCTTCACGTAACCTTCAAATGGCTAATCAAGGTCTAATCAATGATACCTTCTTATGTCCCATTTGACACCATATAACTTTTGTCTGAAATATTTTTCTCTAAAATTATTC